GTTAGAACTGTGAAACCCTTGCGCTCAATACAAAACTTTATTTCAACCGTGTTTGGAACAAAGAACATTTGTATGAATCACATGCAAACCTGAAGGCATTATGGTCTCTGAGCTGGATAATCTGGTTGTGAAGCTTTCATTGTTCTTTAGAAAAACACCATCGTCTCGAAATAAAAATGAGAACACTTCACCAAGTAGTTATATGACGCGCCGTAGCTCAGAAGAACAATAAAGGCTTCACGACCATAACAATCCAGATCAGAGACCAAGAAACCTTTATCTTGAGTTATTTATTCTTCGTTATCTCAAAATCATACGAAATTAATACGCTACTGCAACAATAGGTAGAGGATGACGAAGATTTATTCACTCACTAGGTCTTTTTATGTGGTTGGTGAACATCCAGTTGTGGGGGATCTTAATCAAGACATCTGGTTGATGAATATCCACTACTAAACACTATCGAATTTCAACAAAAACTTGTAACTAAGTGATGGTATCGAGGGTTTCCACTCAGGGTGCACATATGCCAAAAAGACTGGTTGATTATAGTTCATAATACCGATAGCGGAAAAATATGAACCCTTATAAATGAAGCGTATAGAAAAAGGTCTCCTAGACTATACTCTTGTTCGTACCGGATGTGCATCAGTTTACTTGACAAATCAACTAACTTATTCATACAGGAGTAAGCAATCTGATGTCGAAAATCTTTTCAAAGTTTACTTCTGTGAGCCAGGTTGAAGAAAACTAGATGAATGTAGACAAACATGTACACACGCACATGTAAATACGACTGTGTTTCCCTGTTAGTCGGACAATAAATAATTATCCCGCAAAATTTTTTATCGCTACGAACGCTGAAAAAATAATAAGTTTTGAATTTAACAAACACTTCAAACTGAAGTACTGTCGATGAGTGCTACTTACTATTTACAAGTAGTTTGAAATTAACTTTAATATTGCAAACTTTTTCAACTGATTATAAACATTCGCATTCATTCCATCAAATTGTTTTACAGAGCACATTTAAGCTCTTTATAATTACATCTTATTCAAAAAATGAATAGACATAACATACTAGCTGATATTTCGATTACTTTATCAAAAAGTTAACTACATATGTTCATTGATAAATTGCTTTTTTTGAAATCATTCCAACTTGAACAAGATCATAAAAACTGTACTTACGTTCTTCTATTTACATTAACTTTCAAATGGAAGGTGCAGCCTGGTCAGATCACCAATTAAAATAATTTTGATTCGATAAGACACTGCATGAAAAATGGTGAGTTTATAAAATGTCGACGGGGTATAATCTTCTAAACATGCATACTAATATATGATTTCATTTCACCTATTTACTGAGTTCAGGCTTTCTTGTCAATTGTTTCCTTTATTAGAAAGAACAATGAAAACATTTATACAATGATAATAACTAAAGTTAAAATTAACACAAGTTGAGAGATAAGCAACCAACATATAGTCTATAAAGAAAGCTAATTAAACTGAAACGTTCTAGCATATTGCTATAAAAAAGTAAATAATTAGTGTATCAAAAGTTTTATTACATTGATTTGGAATTTCAACTAGAACCTGGCGCATATATGCAATGGTACAAGTTGCCATGCCACATTAATACAGCAAGATTAAATTATCGAAACAAATCCAAGAGTTGTAGAAGTATCAAAAGTAGAGAAACTTATAAAAATTTGAGACTCAGGATCTAAAGAAAGGGAAAAATTAAACGTCCATTGAGAGATTGCTGAGATAAAAGATGATCATACAATACAAATCCTGGTAACCTTTGATCTTTAGTGATTATTCCATGCAAATATCTATAACATTCAACTAGTATGCATGTTTATATCAGATATCCTAACACTGACCAATAGGCAAAAAAGGACGAGAAGATTGATACTCTATGTTCGATGGTTGGCTCAGTACTGACTAGCCCCAAACGAAGAGGAAGAACGCAAGACCAATGGTCACTAGCCTAAGGTAGCTATTATATTTCAGACATGAATTCATAGGCACACAATGCCAGACCAAGCAGAAGACCAATTAAGTCACAGTAATAGCATGAAACAATAATATCAATAATGGAAAAAACGGAGTACTAGGTACACGATCGACCCTAGTTTATGATTGAAAAATAAGAGCTCGGAACCAGATTAATACGAAAGCAACAAAACCAAAATGCTTCATAAACATGCAATCAATATAAATAAATAGAACTAAAAGAAGTACAAAAGAAACTAAACCCTTTATTCAAATTAAATTGTCTTCAACACAGGATATTCTTGAAAAGTGGTGATTTCAATTACTAGCATTCTTTCCTTCATCCAAATTTCAACGTACAATCCTCCAAGTTTTACTTTTTCTAAGTAAATCTTGATCTTGTTTTTTTACTTTGATTAGATTGATATAAATGCTACTTTTCTTCATTAATTAACAAGAAATATTTGTGTGCTTTAATCAGATTTATGCGACTTTAAGCATTTTTTTACTCAATATGAACGCAAATAAAATGATAAACATCACTAGTATTGCTTTAGTAAAATCAATTTCTAGAGCATAACCAGTGTTGCCGAATCCTAAGTAATGCGTAAATACCACTAGGCTGGAAGGATGATTTCGTTGAGGTTGTATTTACTGAACTAGTTTGCTCAGTCGTGAAGCTTTCGCTGCCTTTCTGCAGCACAAAACTCAGGCAGAAGTGAGATATAGGAATTCCTCTCGATTCATCAACATGAACATCAATTAGCGTTTAAACGCCACAATAGATTTTCACTTATATCACTATCATGCAGGTAGCTGTGGATACACGATCGGCTGAGGAAATGACGATATCTTAAATAAGAACAATAAAAAGATTAGACAATTTGTTGAAGCTTGATAGTCGTGTTAGTCAGAAATAAATAAGCGTAATGAAATAGACCTTATTTAACAAAGGATTACAAAATGTGTAGACAACTATAAGGTGAAGAGGAGAAAATCAAAATGTACAATCAACTATAAAACAATTTTCATTAACAACTAGTCAACTTCAAGGTCGATAAGGTAGGTTGAAGTAACTTAGGAAGACTCCCAGAGCTCATTTCTGTGTGGAGCATGAGGTGATGATTTCTATAAAAACAATGAGCTTCATGGTTTAATCAAGCACTTCAAAAAAATTTCGAAACAATATTAGACTGAGACTATGCATTACATTTTGATATAAACAGGATTACTTAGTTTTAGGGATTGGTGGGATAAATCATAAATGGGAGCTTCGAATGATTGTTTTTCAAGGGGTCACCTGCGCTAAAAATAGCTTCGGAAAATTTTGAGTGCTAAGGGTTTTGTATAAGTATTCTGGTAAGTCCCGGAATTCAAAGTACAGTTTTCAAGGATTAGTCCCACTATTGTCAATTGATCTTACATATGCCCAAAAACTCAATAACAGCTATACACTGCAACATTAGTATTTCGAAACCTACTGAGTAGCTTATTCAATCTTTACTACAATATTCTTCTAAACTGGACAAGAAAACGCCGAATGAGACCACCAATTCTGATAATAAACAATTACTTGACAAGTGGTGCCCCTTGAAATTATCTGATAGTTTTTTGTTGACCAACATCTAGGTTAAACCGCATACATCACATCTCACACGCAACAACAAATGCAAGAGAAGACAACCAGTGAGGCAGCAGCCTCAGAAGCAGTAGGTCTCAACATACCAAAAAGAAAAAGCGAAATTCTCCGATGCAACACAACACGCACCAACCAAATCACGCTTGATGGAGATTCTTTGGAGGACGTTAACACATTTACATATCTTGGCAGCATCATCGACAATCAAGGTGGATCCAATGCAGATGTGAGGGCGCAGATCGGCAAAGCAAGGACTGCATTTTTACAATTGAAAAATATCCGGAACTCTAAACAAATATCAATCAACACCAAAATCAGGATTTTCAATACAAATGTCAAGACGATTCTACTGTATGGAGCGGAAACGTGGAGAACTACGAAAACCATCATCCAGAAGATACAAGTATTTATTAACAGTTGCCTACGCAAAATACTTTGGAATCGTTGGCCAGACACTCTCAGCAACAACTTACTTTGGGAGAGAACAAACCAGATTCCAGTGCAAGAGGAAATCAGGAAGAAGCGGTGGCAGTAGATAGGACACACTACGAAAAGCACCGAAATGAGTCACAGGACAAGCTCAAGGTAAAATAAAAAGAGGAAGGCCGAGGAACGCATTACGCCGAGATAGAGAAATACATGAGAAGAATGAACAAAAACTGGAAAGAACTAGAAAGGGAAGCCCAGGACAGAGTGGTTGGAGAAAACTGGTGGGCGGCCTATGCTTCGCTGGGGGTAACAGGCGGAAGTAAGTAAGTAAGCATATATCAAATAACAGTGCTAAAATTACATGCACATATCAGAATTTTTTTAAATGCTCAGTCACCTAGAAATTTTTTAAAGTATAACCAACTGATAGACAATAACAAGATGCGTTAAGTTACATAAATTATTAAAATATTGTTAGCATGAAAAGAAAGCTGATAGCATTTAAATTTTATCTGCCAAGATATAAATGCACACGTAACTTCTTGAGGCAGAGTTAAAACTAAAAGCTCATCAATAATCAAAATGAAAATCACATGATCAGAAAAAAAGGAAATAAGTAAGCAACAGGAAAGTCGTCCTCCATATTATTGTGAATACTATTATGGTTCGTTTTATTAGAAGCGCTCTAATTGTGTACGCACAAAATATCAGCTTATAGTCATGAAGAGAAATATTTGAAAATGAAAAAATAACTGGATTTAGGCATTATAAATATTACTGCCATTGTCATGATTGTAAAACTCTGGAACTCCTAGAACTATCAGGTTCTAAAAAGTAAAATAAATGAAGTATGAAAAATTAAATTGATCTCACCATTAACTTAAGCATTTTAACAACCTTGGTGCATGTGATATGTCCCATTTCCTTATATTCATCTTTCAGCTTTTTTATTTGTACGTGACCTATTTCCATCAATACGTGGTGATGTCGATTGAAAAACTGATGAATTTGCCATCATATTTTCAATATACTGGCCAAGGATTTGATTCTCTGAACGTAATTTTAAATTTTCTTCCTTCACAGCATCCACTCGCGTAGATAAATCCTCGAGTGTATGTTGTAGCTCCAAAATCTACACTCGTCCAAAAAAACGATAGCACGAACATAATAAGTAAATAAAAATTAACATTAGTTTCAAGTATTTGAAAAATTCAGAATGTGAACACAATGCGTGCAGCCATGACTTCATATTGAGTCGAATTCAAGAACCTCTAGCTTTGGGGCGAGCATCTAGCCAATCAGATAGTGAGTTGAGTTTCAAAACATGGCATGCAACAATTATTCTAAAAATATATAGCACTGAAAACGTAGTACTTTAGTGTCGTTTATTTTTTTAGACAACAATGGAGGATTTCTACATCAAAAAAGCAATAGCTGCTAACGTAGTAACTTGACTAGCGTATCGTGATGATTCAACTGGTTGAAACCAGTCCCTTAACAAACTACAATCCCAAAAAGATAGATCAGTAAAGTGCAACAGACACAGCAGGTATGACAGTTGGGTTGGTTGGTATAGCGGAAGTAAAATGTTCCCCACGATAATCAGCACCTCCGGAGACGCTGACTCTCCACACTTAAAGAAACGGCGAAAAGTGACTATCAAATTTTAATCGTTGAGATTTTGTCGGGAAATACTTATTTACAATAACCACAGTCTCCGTTTGAGCAGGTTATAAACACATGAAATCGAAAGAGAACCAGAGCTTACCTGACTTATCAGGCGCTGCTTTTCTTCAAGATCCGCTTCTAAAACTTCGTTATCAGTTCCTGAAGGGACATCACTTGGTGAATCAACATTGTTGGGATTGCATTTAACAAAGTCAGTAGACATTAGTGGGGGTCGATTAACCTACAAAATGAAATTTAAAATTATACTGTTGTACTGCGATACTACAAATAACCTCAATTCGCTTCTCTTATACATGCTGTTCGCACACAGGCTTAGTGCCAATCAAGATAAAAAAACATCGAATAAAGTAGCGTATGTCACCTTTGAGAGCACATGACTGTCTAGTCAGGATAAAATATTTAAAGGAATAAATTCATATCACTACTACGTGAGGAAACAGGATATTGTCGGCCAGTATATTTACTAATTAGACTTGGCTCGATCCTGTATCTATGGAATTTACTAGTATCAGCCTCGGGTAAGTTTTCAGTAAGTCAGTTACAACTCAGAACTTCGTACGTTCGTACATCAGTCCAAGTTGCTATAGCACATAAGCTCAGAGACGAATTTGTCAGTTCAAATCCCTTAGTGGTAGAGATAGTAGAAGTATTACTGGTAATCGAAAAGATTAGGGTTAGAAGATATTACTCAAAATGTATAATTCAGTGACATAACTTTAGCAAGAGAAAGACAGAAGTTATGGGGAATTCAGAAGATTAAAATTTCAGAGAACACAAAGAGTGGATGCACCTGCGCCATTACAAACGATTCTGAGCCATGTCGTTCAAGGTATCTAACGATCGGTGACTTTCGTCTGGCGGAACCCAAACAGGTCCGTCAGTCAGATGCAACATAGAACTTCGTACGTAAATATATCAGTTCATGTTGCCAAACCGCATCAGCACAGAGATGGAATTTTCAAGTCAAACCGAATAGAAGTAGAGGTAGTAAAGGTATTAAGAGTAAACAGAGAGGTTAGGATTAGGAGATATTATTTGAGAATTATGATTCAGTGAGATAAGCTTAGAAAGTAAAAACTAGAGGTGTTCCTCATTATATTTTATGTTTAGTTAGAGGCAGACATTATTGAGTGTGTTGGTGAAAATTCAAAGATTCTTGGTTTGAAAGATCATATAATCAGTAAAAAACGCACAAAATAAAAATTGTTTATTGGCCCTGAAATCCAACACTTAAGGTTGAGTACAAATATTTTCATCCCACATATTTACCAATGAAAAAATATTGGTGACTAAAATAACAGATTACTTGTTGTTCACAAATAAGTTCAGCTTAAAGAATCTGCAAAAAGTATTGGCGAAAACTCATACAAAAGCTTTTATACATCAGACCTAAACTATATTAGATGTCTTGCACTAGGTTGTATTAGACAACACGTTACCGAATTAGGATAAGGCGGAACAGTTGTCTACTGTTACCTATCATCACTGTCTTTTCCACCGCTCTTGCCTTCGCTACCCACCACTGTTCAAGATCGTTCCTTAAGCTTTTTGTCAGTCTGCGCTTAAGCTGACTTCTCTCTTTGTCATGTTTGGAGCCAGACGGGATGAGTTTTTGAGCGTCCATCAGTTCAGTAGATTCTACTGAAATCCACCACCTCTCCCTACCTTTATTTACCATACTAGCAGATATCACTGCTGTTTCCACAGCTTTTTGGTATCATACCAAGCTGCCTCAGCATGGGCATCACTTACATCGCTGCCTAATTGTCTTTCTAGTCTCTCCTGAAATAAATTCTCAGCTTTGTTATCACTAAGTAGAACCCTAAGAGGTTTCCTTGTGATATCTTTCCCACGTCTAGTAAGCCTCAAACAAATACGCGTTCGCACTAAAGCATGATCTGAGTCTGAATATGTTCCCCAGAATGAGCGAGTCTTTTGTCGAGCTCCTTCATCGGTGGTTGATAGCTATGCGATATAGTTGGGTCCAGCGTTGGGATGACTTAGGGTATAGCCATGTCAAATGATGATTTTCCGTATGCTTAAGTCAGTCGGTCAGTCAGTCAGCTGCAACGTAGAACTTCGTACTTATGTACATAAGTTCATGTTGCCATACCATATTAGCACAGAGACGCAAATGTCAAATCAAATCCCATAATGGTAGAGATAGTAGAGGTATTAATGGTAATGAAGAAGACTAGGGTTCGAAGATATTATTCAAGAAGTAAATTCGGTGAGATAAGGTTAGAAAGACAAAGGTAGAGGTGCTGAAGAATCCAGAAGATTAGGATTTGAGAGAGCACAACGAGTGGATGCACTTGCGCCATTGCAAACGATTTTGAGCCATGTCATTCAAGGTCTCTAACCATCGATTATTATCATCTCGCGGACCACAACCAGTCGACAACTACCAACATGACTCAGTCCACTTGTCAATGACTTCATGGATTTCTGCCATGTTTTGGTCAGGCTGCCCCTAGCTTTCACCCAACCTACTCCTACACCACAAAACATAGCTGGTCGAGGCAGTCGGTGGTTAGGCATACGCAGCACATGTCCCAACCACCTCAACTGATGAAGTTTCACCACTTCATCTATTGATCTGCCATCCTTACCTAGCACCCGTTTCCTAACGACAGCATTGCTTACTCGGCTGTCCCACGGTATAATATAATAATCCCAACAAGTGGTATCAGGTGTGGACCGGAATAAGACCGACTGCATCGAAGGTGTCACAAGTCAGTACGACATTGGTCATTCAGAGCATGCTACTCTATGCAATCTCTGCTGGTTCTCACGGTGATCAGGATGTTACACATGGTTAGAAGGTTGCCATCAAATGAACAGCAAACAGCCGATAATCAATTGCCAGATTTCGATGAAGCAATGAGCGTCAACATAAACTCAGCTCTAGATCTGAATAAAATTATCACGATGAATCCTCAGATGTCAAACACAGACGTGGTTAAACGTAATAAGTTTGGAGCAAAACGATGCCCAGATCACTGTGTGGTACGAAGCGTTCCGCAGAATTCGTGTACTGTAAGAATCCTCGCCAATTCATGGACCCTAATTAGACGTACGGTCATTATAAATATCGTTTGGCTACAAATTGTTAAGAACTACAGTCATTTTAGCTTTACTCCAGGACATTATAGATCTCACCAGATATGACCTACTGCACAATTGTCTTGGACTTAGCCTTAACTCATGATGATGATGTCAGACAAATGAAGTAACTCCTATCTTCTAAAGTGGACCGAAAATTACTCGGTAGGTCATAGACAGAAAGAGAAAACTTGAAGTGTTTTTTCACGGAAACCAGTAATTAGTGTTATAGTAAACGGCTGTTTTAGGTCTTTTAATTTATATATATATATATATATATATATATATATATATATATATATATATAAATTAACTCCCGAATAATGTTAACCTCGTTGCAACTTTATTTTGACTTCCAAACGGCGAGAAATAACGGGGAATAGATATGCATAAATACTCCAGGCGAGTTCGAGTTAGCTGGCCTATAAAGTGGCTGATGCCTATCGACGGCCACGTGTCTACAAGCACATTGGGAACACAGAAACAAACAGGGTACAGCACTGAGGAAGTATCGATAACCTTAATCCTGTTTCAAAATGATCTAAGGGAAGAGATCCACGGTCTTAAGAACACGAAAAACTGCGGTGCAGTTGTTATTGAATTTATAACTCAGCGCTGTAGGATAAATTTTAACCAAGTTGGATGCAGGTATGACCACAATAGTACATACAATCTTAGTGAGATCCAAACTTAAAAGCTGCGCTTAATCTTTAAGCCACGTCTACAGCTGACTCGATTATCCAGAAAGCACAGAACACAGCTAAAGTACAATCAGAAAAGTGTGAGAGGCTGCAGAAGTTAGACATTTGCCCTGTCCTACCGCAAGCTAAGAGTTGATATTGACAGAGTACTGAATGACTTTTGTTGTGGAGATAACTCTCCTTATATTCCTACTGCCTTATGACAACCTCGAATGAGAATTCATAAGCCGAAAAATGGACAAAATACCCACAGCACACATGTTTCAAAACACTCACTACCATTTAGAACCTGTTACATGTAGTACTTACATTTCTAATTGATTCGTTCTGGAGAAGACTAATGCCTAACGAAATCTTACCAGGGAAGGACTAACGAACGGTTGGCCTGCTCTTAGTGATCAAGTTAGCTTAATTATCTACAAAACACGCCATAAAAAACCTTGAAAAGGGTCTTGAAAAAGCCTCATGTTGAGTTCTTACACTGCTGTACACTGACTTACTTAAAACCGGAGGAAAAGTGATAGTCCTATTGTGGTCTTTTGGTGTCTAAGACACGACTGCTCAGGCTTATTCGACAACAAACTATTAGGAATTTAAACTCAGTTATGCAACATTATATTTCCGCAAAGGATGTTAACATGATGAAAACAAGTTTAAGTATTAATTATTGCGAAAATCCAACAATAGGAAACTGATGAAATTGGAATGTTAAAAGTAGTATCAAAGCTTGAGGAACATGAGAAGAGTAGACATTGAGCATATCGTCTTAATTTAGTTGATATCATGCCACATTACCTAACTCTGCAGAAGATTTCACTCTCGCGCACTCACCAGGATTGAAATGAGAAGACTTAAACAAGTGAACATAATGTTTCGTAAAATCTATGGAAAGACTTTATTAAACCTAGCCAGTAAGGCTTTTCCAGCAGAATATTCAGCATCGAAGTTACTAATACAATCTCCTTTACTGATTACAGGTGGAAATATTACATCCTGAAGCCTAAAACATAATGATCATGGGGGTCTAGCCACTCGTGTATCTAATTCTAGGGTTAGACTCAGTAGTAATCGATCATGATTCTCCACAAGACAATAAAATACTACTAAGGAGCAGTCGATTGATCGACGTTAATGAAAACAGTGGGATGTAGGGTAAATTCCGTGTCGCAAACAGCTTTTGAGAAGTCAAAGTATATTTCATCAACTAATCCCTAAGGATCGAGAATGACTGTCTACCGGAGTGGCACTTACGGGAATCGTGTCGCTGGGGCAAAACGAAGTCTGAAATTAAAAATTAATGGCGTAAATTGACTTATATCAAGGAGTAATAGTGTGTGGGAATATTTTCATTCCACATGGCTTATTCTAGCTTTCGGACCAACCTAATAACTTATTC